GATTCTTATGATTCAATAGTGAGTAATTGTTATTATGACTCATTGTGACTGTCACAATTGTAAAGGTAGAAGTTTTGTAACAAAAACAAGGGAGTGGTTAATCTTAAAGTCCAGAAACAGAAGACCCTAGGACGATCAGGGAGGAAGAGCACAAGCAAAATGTGGGAACTTATCCAGAGAAGCAGCGACATCAGGGACGAAGGCAGAGATTGGGGGGCATGAAAGCCTGAGGGGCTGAGGACTCTAGATTCATGGGAAGAGAGGAACTAAGAGCTGGTGGCTAGGAGGCAGATTTGCAGAATGTGCCCTTTGGAGATGTAAATTATTATATATGCTTGAGTGGTTTATTTTTTTAAAACAAAAAGAGCTGAAGTGAGTAGAGAGAAATACTGTTAACTGATTGTACATGGAGGGGATTATAATCATTGTAATGTAACCAGGTGTATGATTTGTTGAATGTAAAACTGATGATCTGCCCTGAAAACTTTTACTCAATCCACAATAAAAACCTTAAAAAAATTTTTTTGGCATTTAACCTTTTTTCCTTCTTTGTTGTTGTTATTGTTGTTAGATGCCATGAGTCGGTACCAACTCACAACAACCCTATGCACAGCAGAAAAAAACACAGCCCAATCCTGGGCCAACCTCACTACTGTTGCCACGCTTGAGTCCATCGATGCTGTCACTTGGCCAAACCATCTCGTTGGGGGGGTCTTCCTCTTTTTCTCTGACCCTTCACCTTACCAAACATGATATCCTTCTCCAGTGACTGGTCCCTCCTGACAATATGTCTGAAGTATGAGAGACGAAATTTGGCCATCTTGGCGTCCAAGGAGCACTGTGGCTGCACTTCTGCCAAGAGATCTGTTGGTTCTTTTGTCAGCCCATGGCACTTTCAATATTCTCCTCCAACACCACAATTCAAAAGCATCAATTCTTCTATGTTCTTCCTTATTCAGTGTCCAGCTTTCCCTCTTAAACATGTTAAATTACTATACTCCTAAACTGACTCCATCACTATTTATTACACTCTGTCTACAGATATTCCTTGATATAAAAGGCAAAAAAATTTTAAGTAATATTAAATGTGTACAGAATAAAGAATAAAGTGCCATCGAGTAGGTTGTGACACATACAGACCCTATATAGAATTTCTGAGGAGTGGCTGGTGAGTTTGAACCACTGATCTTTACAGTTCAAACCAACCTAGGGATGTATGTCTAGAACATGTCTGAAGGCATCTACCCCCACATGAGATGTTGGGATTATGGGATTGTGTATGTTTTTATTTTCTTCTTTTTGCTATGATATTGATTTTCTAGTTAAAAAAAAAAAAGTAACTTTTAATTAAAAAAAAAAAGGTAGCATCAAAAGTCATGGCATATCACCCCATCATCAACAGCAAAGTTTAAATAACTAAACAGAAAATAACAAATTCTGGTAAGGATTAGAGACATTGGAACCCTCACACACTGCTGGTGGGACTATAAAATGTTACAATTACTATGGAAAACAGTGTGGTACTTCCTCAAAAAGTTGGAAATAGAAATACTATAGGATTCAGCAATCTCACTGGTAGGTATATATCTCCTAGAGAAATAACAGCTGTGACATAAATAGATATATGTACACCCATGTTCATTCAACACTATCCACAGAGCAAAAAGATGGAAACAATCTAAGTACTAATAAACTGAAAAATTGATAAACAAATTATGGTACATACACCCAATGGAATATTATGCAATGTCAAAGTATAATGATGAATCTATGGAACACCTTATAAGTATGAATGAACCTGTATGACGTTACACTGAGTAAAATTTGATGAACTGAGAGGGCATTATCACAAAAAGACAAATCTTACATGAGACCACTTATGTATGATGCAGTGAATTATTTAATGTCTCTTCTATCCATGGTGATGGTAGAGGTGGTAGTGTGACATGGTTGGTTCCGACTCATAGCGACCCTGTATAGTGCTTCTGATGCTATAAATCTTTAGGGGAGCAGAAAGTCTCATCTTCCTCCCATAGAGCAACTGGTAGATTCAAACTGCTGAACTTGTGGTTAGCAGCCCAGCTTATAATCCACTATGCCACCAAGGTTCCTTTCTTCTAGCTATATATAGTCTTTGTAAACTCCCACCACACAACTTTTTCTTCTAATAGGTCTAGATAAGAGAAGGTGGGGGAAGATGCTGATAGGGTATATGAGTCAGTTGTGCAGATTGTTAACAAGGCTAATTGTACCTGGTCAATTTTGCCATTCTGCCAGGTATAAAATGAGCCATCTCAGAAGCAGAAGGAGAAAACCTCACTACCATCAAAGAAGAGGAGCCAGGAGTGGAGCAGGTCCTTTGGACCCCAAGATCCTTGTGCAGTGAATTTCCTGGATCCAGGGACAGAGAGCTGTGATACTGGAGGAGTAGTACAGGAGCAGCAGCAGCAGAATCACGAGACGGCAGAGCAGTTGCTTCCCAGCCCATGGAGAAGTAAAGCTGAGTGCCTTTGGGCAGGAGGCTTACTTAAAGAGTGAGGTGCCTCCAGACACTTAACTGGGGGAGCTAGGTTTGCTGACCACCAAGCTAAACAGAGAGTCTTTGGGCTGAGCTTATAGTAGAGTGGAGTATCTATGAGCGTTTATCAGCAGCCTTAAAAGAGCTTTGATGCCTGAGCAGAGAGAAAGCTGCCTGTGGGCATAGCAGAGTATGAGGCTGTCATGATTGGAACAACTGTGCCCTGAGCATTACTGACACTGAACTCAACCTGCTAACTTCCCTAGTAAACCCCTTAACTGTGAACATAGTGTCCAAGTTCTGTCTGGTCATTACAAGGAATTTTCGAGAGTGCTGTGGGAGAGACGGTTTGGTACTATCATTTTTAGCACCACTATTTTAAAATGTCAAGACAAGGTTTTCACACTAAAAGAAACATTCTTTGATGATTATCAGGAATGGGAAGGGAAGAAAGGCTAAACCAGTCATTAGAAGGCAGACACATATTAACTTGGGGGAAAGGGCAGGCAGAATACAAAAAGGTGGAGGTCAGCACAAAAGGATCAAGGCAAAGGAAGACACTGGGAGATGTACAAGAGTTAAAGGAAGAAAGGTAAATACTACTATTCTATACACAATCCTGCAATAACAGTATCAGTGAATGCCATGGATTCTAATCTACTAGTCATTCCACGGGGAAAAGATGAGGCTTTCTGCTCCTATAGTTTTACAGTCTTGGAAACCCTATACGGGGTTATCACTATGAGTCAAACCCACTGGACGGCACACAACAATGAGTGGATATATAATATAAACATGCAAGCTGAATAAGTATGGGAAAGAGCATGGACTATACCCACTAAAACATGCAGGTTTGACACAGAACATTTCGACATATGTATATACATATGCTGCAAATATATCCATGAATATAGCAGAGCACACAGGGGGCAAAGTTCTGAAAAGTTATTAGCCATAATCAAACACCTTGAGGGAATGAGTCACTGGGCTAGGGACTCAGGACCATAGTCTTGGGGGAACATGAAGTTCAACTGGTACGAGACAGTCATAAAAGAAAATGTTCTACATCCTTCTTTCATGAGTAGCAACTGGAGTCTTAAAAAGTTGTGGAGAGCGGCTGTGTGCTGGCGGCCAGAGGGCAGGCATGTGGGATGTACCCCTTGATTGCTTGATGATGAATGCAGGGGATTGTGATCATTGCAAGGAAACAAAATATGATAGGATGAATGTAAAGATAATGTTCACCCATGCAAACTAACACATAATTCACAATAAAAAGTTTGTGCACAGCTGCCTAAAATGCAACTCTTGGTCTCTCTCTGCCTGGAGCAAAAAGAGTAACAAAATTAAAAAATGCATTGAAACAATTAGTCTAAAGGACTAAATGACCATGCAAACCTCAGTTTGCTGTGACCAAAAGAACTAGATGGTACCCGGCTACCACTCATTACTGACTGCTCTAAAAGGGATCACACTAGAAGGTCCTGGGTAGAGTGGGGGAAAAAATGTGGAACAAAAGTCAAAATCATAAAAAAGACCAGGATTACTGGTTGGCTAGAGACGAGAAGAACCCCCGAGACTTTGGTCCTTGGTCACCCTTCTGGCCTAGATCTGAACTCATCCTTGTGGCTCAATTTTCATCCAAACAATAAACAAATGTACAAGGCAAACAATAAACACTAGGAAGATGTTACAATAAACCATATGAGATCAAAAGGGCATCATTTGCTTAAAGCAAAGTTCAGAAGGCAGGAGAATGAGGAAGAATGGGAAGTAAAGGATAGAAGGGGATAAATGATCATACTTACATTGTGAAGATACAATCGACATGAAATAAAATGTGTATGAATTATTGAATGAAAAACTGATTTTCTCTGTAAACCTTCACTTAATTCACAATAAAAAATGTGTTGTTTTTTTTAAAGCAGAAAATCTTAAAAATATGCTTTTTAAAAAGTCCATGGCATTACCCAACAAAGTCCTAAAAACCCTGAATTTGGGAATAACAGATAGCAGAACACTAAGAAAGCCAGCATCTGGATACCATATCAATTAAGGGAACTGTGGCATTGTAGGATCAGCACTGGAATGCTAAGCACAAGGTCGGCGGTTCAAACCCACCAGCCACTTCTCAGAAACCCTATACAGGATCACTATGAGTCAGAATTGACTCAGTGGCACTTAACAAGAAGAACAATTTGAATATAGCCATAACATGTTATCACTCACTGGGCAATATTCAAATGTCCTCTTATTTTTAAATAAGAATGCCAGTGAGAAAATCTACATTTGATGTCCTCTTACTTTTAAATAAAATCGCCTCTTATATGATTATTTTTAAATAAAACACCCTCTTATTTTTAAATAAGATCACCAATGAGAAATTCTATACTTGATGAACTGAGGCAACTGAATTAAAAACTTGAATCTCGGGCAAATTAAACTATCCTCCAACTCGTCCCCAAATTTCCTACAGCCTTACCATAAAGATCGGGCCCATGAGGAGTAAAGACATTATATAAAACAATGTTGAGTGGTGCAATTACCAACTTCCCATAATAGTAGCTGTCAATGACCACCACAGGCACCTAAAACAGAGCAGAGAATACATAGCAATTTTAGGATTTGGTTCCTGTAAACACTCTCACTATGCTAACACCTTAAAATGAAAAACGGAATGAATTCATTTTTCCTTCCCTACATAAGAAGCTGCTTTCATTAAAATTTTAGAACATGACAAGTAAAAAGGAAAACTCACCAGAAAGAGTATTAAGGCCACCAGTGACCACTGAAAGAAACTCTTCCACCTCTGTTTCATGACCAGCAAATCAAAGGCAATAGGTAAACTATTTAAGAGAGAAACAGAAAATGGGGAGTTAAATACTTAGAGAATACCAATAGGTCAGGATCACACCTAACCTGTCACTGAACTGAAAATTACATATCTCTACTAGTTAAAGCTGGTCTGTGAGAGGATGTCCTCTCAACAACATGCTGATCTGTTCACAGAATGTTATATGTATCCCATGGATGCACAACACACAAAAATGCTGAGCAGTGGAAACAATTCCATTTTCTATATTTTATGTTTAATGGATAATAAAAATAAATTACAAATGAATGTGCCCTATATGAGCTCTGGTGTGGCACTGTAGGAAAAGGACTGGACTGGTAACCACAAGGTTGGTAGTTCAAACCCACCAGCCATTCTAAGAAGCCCTATACAAGGTCACTATGGGTCTGAACCGATTCAACCCTAGCCTGGGTGACTAGGAAAACTGCCCTAAATGGAGTCCTGGTATGGCACTGTAGGATAAGCACTGGACTGCTAACTATAATGTCAGTGGTTCAAACCTACCATCTATTCCTCGGAAACCCTATATAAGATCACTAGGAGTTGGAACCAACTCAACAGCACGTAACAATAACAACTACTCTCTCTCTCTCTCTTTATATATATATATATATATATATATATATATATATGACAGTAAGAATTAAAATATCTGTCTTGGAAGAAGTACAGCTAGAATGTTCCTTAGAAACAAAGATGACAAGACTTTGTTTCTCATTGGACATGTTCTCCAGAGGGATTAGTCCCTGGAGAAGGACATCATGCTTGGTAAAGTGAAGAAGATCTTCAACAAGATGGACTGACACTGTGCTTTCAACAATGGACTTAAGTACAGCAATGACTGTGAGGATGGCACAGGGTCAGGTAGTGTTTAATTCTGTTGTGTTTGAACTAACTCAACAGCACCTAACAAGGACCTTGCAGCTAAATATTGAGCTCTCCTTTATATCACCTATCATTATTGCTATGTGCCGTCAGTCAGTTCCGACCCATAGCAACCCTGTATAGGGCTTCCACGGAATGACTGGTGAGCTTAAACCTCAGACCATGCAGTTCAAACCAACTTGGCCATCCAGCGTGTTAGCCCGTTGCAACATATATTAGGAATTTAGTAATATACTATTACAAATTCTGACTTCAATTCAGATGTACTCTCAATACCGTTTGATAATTTTCCTTTTACTTAAATACCCTAAGCAGGTGGCATACATGTGTTGCCCTCATTTCACTATTTCTTCCTGAAGGCCTTGCATCAAGCTAATGAGACTGATCTCAGGTCAACAGGAAAATCCTCGTAGTCAGATTCAACACCTCTTCACAAACTTCACCTCAACTCTGTCTTTCTACTGCACAGCAATTCTGCTCCTTCTCTTTCCTGCTTTCTTCCTGAGTGTTCTTTCCAGGATCCTTTTTTCCCCTATACCTTCACCATCATGTCTCCCCAATGCCGGCTTCTCTTTCCCCATTTCCTCGGTAGGTACTTCTGCTCTTGTTGCATGAACAATCACCTTCACATCCATGACTTCAAAATCTAAGATACCACTCAGAGCCCTTACCCATTCTTGAGTCACAAAGAATGCTCTCTCAACACCAATTTATACAAGATCGACCCAAATGGTAATTACTGGCTCAAGCCTCATCTAGTCTACAAAATCTTTTCAGAACCAATTTCTCACTTCTCTGAATTCATACAGTAAATAATGTGCTAGTATAGAATACCTGTATGGTTTGAACACCCACATTCAGTTACATAAATGTCCCTTTAGTAGCTCGTATTTTTAAGTGTCTCCCCAACTAGTTAATTTCCATTATACCCTGTGTATTTCTCTTGATAAGCCATCATACTTGTAATTACTTGTTCAATGTCTGTCCTTCCTGCTAAACCATATAAGCTCCATGAGGGAAGGAATTGTGTCTTAATTATAACAACATCAGTACAATAATGCAACGCAATAATGCTAATGCCAAGCCAATCAAAATGTGCACACAGATGTATCTTGGGAACTGAACAAAGTTTAATGTAATGTGGAGAATAAAAGTGCTGGAGGAACAGAAAAAAGAAATCTAGAGAGATGAAAGGAGAGAAGATCATGCCAGGCCTGTTATGTCACGTTAGAGTTTGGATATTAAAAAGCAGAGGTCACCAAATTTCTTATATGAAGGACTTGATAGCATATATTTTAGGCTTGCAGGTTACATAAGGTCTCGGCTACATAGTCTTCTGTGAATGTGTGTTGTTTTTTAACAACTCTCTAAAAATGCGAAAACTATTCTTAGCTCTCAGGCTGTACAAAAACAGATGAGGTGGATTTGTCCCACAGGAAACTAGAGAAGTAGTAGAAACTAAGAGTTCAAGAAGGACTAGAGACACAGTGGAACTTGAAATAAAAGAAAGCAGGGGCAAGATGGGAGAAAGGACTGTAAGAAGCCTTAAATTTCAAGCCTGGATAACTAAGAAAATAGCAAAAAAAAAAAAAAAATCAGCTTGGGCTTCAGAAAAGCTAATATATCTTAAGGCAAGTTACTGAATCTCTTGGAAACAATTTCCTCACTTATAAAAGGCTAATAGTTGTATTTCTCTTACAAAATTATTATAAGGCCTAGAAACAAGGTTTATAAAAGGTTTAGTAGTATATAACATATAGCAGACACTTAAAAGTCTCTACTCTTATTAGAATCAATCATAATAACAAGCCCCCCCAAAAATATTCTTCCATTGCCCAGAATCTTTGACAGCACAATTCATTCCTATAACTTTAGGTCCTATCCAGATAATTCAGAGATAATCTATACGATTTTCATATGCCCAGTGATATATGGGAGAGGAAGTTGTGTCAGTTTCTTACCCAAGAGCTGCACTGAATGGCCAGCCTAAGATAGCGCCAGCTGCTACTCCCAGCACCGCAACGGAAGTCTTGTCCATATACCATCCAGTCATGGCTATCAACGTAGTATACATACAGAAGCTACTAGGAAGGAATGCTGCAAGAGTCAAGAAATGAAAAAAAATGGGAACAGACAAGAATTTGACATTTATTAGGTATCAATTATTAAAACTTTACCTACATTGCAAAATGGACACTGTGTTTTAATATGGACTGAAAAGTCGGTTTGAACTACAAGATTGGCGTTCAAGCTCACCAGCTGCTCTCGGAAACCCTATACAGGGTTGCTGTGGGTCGGAACCAACTTGATAGCACTTAATAACAACAATGTATATTAGAAATGGAGTCCTGGTGTGGTGCTATATGATTAGCACTGGACTGCAAGGTCAATTTGAACTGCAAGGCTGGAGGTACAAACTCACAAGCTGTCCCTCAAAAGTTCTACAGAGGGTGGCTATGAGTAAGAGCCGATTCCATGGCACTTACAATGCACTTACAAAACAACAATATTAGAAATGGGGAAATGTGGTGGCTCTGTAAGATAAACACTAGACTGCAAACCACAACTTCAGTAGTTGAAGCCCACAAATCACTTCAGGGAAGAAAGTTGACTTTCTGTTCCCGCAAAGATTTGTAGTCTCAGAAACTCTATACAGGGTCACCCTGAGTTGGAACTGACTCGATGTCACTTAACAAAGTATTAGAAATGAGTAAGCAGTAAAATGATACTCCTTTTAAAAAAGATGGAATTGAATGACTCTTGTTTTATCACAATTATGCAATACAAATTATGCCACTCTTTCCTTGGCCAATACCCCAAATCCAAAACTTAGAGAATTCTAAGTTTCATAGGAATACTTTTTCCAGGTTATCCTCACCTGTACCTGACATGAATTCTAGGAAGCATTCTCATGGGTCAAATGTTAGATAGTGGCATTGCTTTGTACCCTATATCCATGGACATAATATAGCCTTAGACATTCCTCTAGTCATATCCATCTAGCATAGCCTTCCTGCTGAATACAACAGAGGATCTAGTACTTTCAAAGTCACTGATAATAGTCACATTTGCCAGCAGCATCTCAAATAGACCACGTATGTTTCTAACCACTCTACACAAACTGTTGTCACAAAGGCTGCTCACAAAAAGATCTGCTCCCCTATTACCTAAAACCTGCTTCCCCTAGCACAAAGGAAGAAACATCAGTGCCACCTCCCAACAAGAACCACAAAAAATTAGCATGAGGCTGCAGAGGCTCTGTATAAAAGGATGTCTTCAACGTATCTGCCCTTAACACCCTCAACTGAGATCACAAAACCAACTACCTTCTCCAGTGTCTCCCACACAGAAAAATCAATTTTAGGAGAGGCAAAGTAAATATAAACAAAACAAAAACAATCAAAAATGTGAAGTACAGCCTTCACAGATAAATGTTAAACAACAGAGAAAAGACTGAAGTTGTCAAAGACTTCATTTTGCTTGGATCAACCATTAACTCTCAATGGAAGCAGCAGTCAAGAAATCAAACGACACTAGGCAAACCTGCTACACAAGACCTACCTGCTACACTAGGCAAACCTGCTACACAAGACCTCTTAAAGTGTCCAAGAGCAAAGATGTCTATTTGAGGACTAAGGTGCACCTGACCTAAGCCATATTATTTTCAATAACCTCACATGCATGTGAAAGTTGGACAGTGAATGAGGAAGATCGTAGGAGATTGGTGCATTTGAGTTATGGTGTTAGAGAATATTAAAAGTACCACAGACTGCCAGAAGAACAAACAAATCTGTGTCGGAAGAACTACACCCAGAGTGCCCCTTAGAAGTCAGGATGGCGAAGCTTCATCTCTCATATTTCAGGTATATTATCAGGAGGGACCAGTACCTGAAAAAAGACATCATGCTTGGTAAAGTGAAGGGCCATAGAAAAAGAGTAAGACCCCCAAGGAGATAAGATTGGCACAGGGGCAGCAACAATGGGCTCACGTGTATCAATGATTGTGGGATTGGTGCAGAACCAGGCAGTGTTTCGTTCTGTTGAGCATAAGGTCGCTGACTCGGTATCAACTCAATGGCACCTAACAACAACCACGTTAAGCTGTCAATTCAGCTGTCTACATAGAGGAAAAGGTGAGCAGGGGACTGTGAGGTCTGTGCCAGCTGAGAGGGGGGCGTGCAGTCTCAGTGAGACAGTGTCTTGAAGAGGGACTCAGGAGGTGGAGCCCTAAAGACTCTGCAGTCCACTATGGACTGTGAGATATTGCCGCAGGTTATGGGAGTCGGCGAATGAAAAGATACGTAATTTGCACTAGATACCATCTTGTATGTGTTAGAGTCTGCAAACACAGAAGAAGACAAACTCGAGAAAGAGCTATCTAGTAACTTAATTTTCCTGGCAAGCTGGGAACAGGCTACCTTTTATGTAATTTTGGTAGTACGCCACCTCAGCTCAGCTCATGGAACACCAATGTTCAATGGCAGCGTAGGTCAAAAATCATCACTCTAAAGTTTATATTCTAAATTTCTAGAAGTTTTTTTGTAGAAAAAGAAAAGAAACACAGAAAAGGCATGCCTAGAGTCCTGTAGGATAAGTACTGGACTTCTACCTAGAAAGTTGGCAATTCAAACCTACCAGCTGCTCCTTGAAAACCCTATACAGGGTCACTGTGAGTCAGAACCAAGCCAATGGCACCTAACAACAACAATAATAAAAAACATCTCAACTAATTATTAGTAAACAAACCACCAAAGTAGGGTTTTTAGGTACTAAGACCTTCCTTGAGCAAAATAAAAATTAATTTCCTTCCCTGAACAACAACGGCAGACAGTGGATGGTTGTGCTTTTCAGCTTGGTGATAAAAATATAATCATGTAATAGAAAATACTGTGGTAGGAGTATCAGCTCTACCACTTGTGAATTTTGTTACTTTCAGTAAGTCATTAACCTTCCTGGCTTCAGTGTCCTCCCCTGAAAAAAGAAGAGATTTATCTGATACCACTGGATTGTTGTAAAGGTCAATTAAGACAATGTATAGATTTGCAAACTATGGACATGTTAAATGAACATAATCAACATTTGCACAAATGCTTTCTTTCAATGCCACTGAAATATTTGTGGTTTATTATCCCACCTGCCCTTTACTGACCTGAAGATGAGCAAAACATTCCAGTGCTGAGAACCAAGAAGGCTAACATCATTCGACTCACATGCAACCCAAACTTCTTGCACACAGCCCTAGGAGAAACGCAAAGAATATGAGAAGAGAAACTTTCAGAATAGACACTTCAAATCACAGGACAAATATCATGCCTAAGTCACTGATACCACTAGAGATGTAAGTCAAACACACAACTACCTCAACAGATAGTCAGCAGTTTCATGTGCATAAATAGTGTAAACAATCTTATACCTTACATAGAAGAGAAGCTGCATACCTAAGGGGAAACATACACTTTATATTTAAAATTATGTCTACTATCAATGTCATTGTTGTTCAGTGATGTTGAGTAGGTTCCAACTCTTAGTGACCTTGTATAGGGCTTCTAAGGAACAACTGGTGAGTTTTAACTGCTGACCTTGGGTTCAAACGGACCTTGGGGCCCAGTGCTTATCCTACAGTGCTACACCAGGACTTCTACTATCAATAGGAACACAATATGACCTATGTAAAGGTATTAGGCCTCAGATCTACATGGTCACAGGTTCAAATTCTGGCTGTTACTTGTTAACAGTGGGACCCTGAACTAGTTACATAATTTGACTGGTTCCTCAACTGTAAAATGAATAAATAATGTCTACTTTCTAAGGTTACTGTGAGGACAATGCATAGAAAAATGCT